GGACCGGGTGGACCGCTCGCCAATGCAAAGACTTAGGGGACGACTATGTATCCGACTTTGGGAAGGAAAACGTGCCCCCGGTGTCCCCCGCGTGGAGTTTCTTCAGGACCGAGTCCGTTTCCAACAGCTGTTTGCGCAGACACTGTGGGGTCGTCTGTGACTCCCGCTCCGCGCTCCCACAGTCGCCTGCCGGGAATGAGGAGCCCGCGCTTCCTTCCTTCTTTTTACAGCATCCTTTGGCGCACGTTTGCTCCCCCCCCCCCTTGGTTTGGGGGCCTTGAGAGAAACTGGAAATGCAGATTCAAAAACAGGCGTTCTCTCCCCGCGCTCAGGGCGCTGCGCTCCCAGGCATCCGTGAACTGTTTGTGTTGTGCTGCACATGACACTCGCTGGCTGGAAACGGCCTTCGTTGCCAGCTCCGGTTCGCCTGTGTGGTGGACATTCTGTGTGTAGTAAAGGTATGGAAAGATAGGCCCAGGGGAGGAGCCTTTTCCCGATCAGTTCGTGGGGAGCAAAAATTCCCTGTTTTACAATTGCCTGTACTCTCCCCGGCCTTTCTCCCCCCCCAGATAAACTAGGGCCTTGGGCTTCTCTGCCTCTTCTCGCCAAGCCTGGCATGTTCCGCCCCCGTTTGTCATCCGAAGGGTATGGGCCAGCCCTTCCTGCTCCCACCTCATCTGTGACACATGTCAGGAATCCAGCGGGAAGGCTCTCTGGTGTGGGCTTTCCTTGGCTTTCCTTTTGATGATTGTTGACCGTCCTAGGGGGTGAGTGGCCAGCTGAGCAACAAGCCCCACTAACCCCTCTCTCAGGAAAGCTCCGAGCTCTGAACTCTCTCAGGAGCCCGTTTTCCCACTAAATGTGCCAAAATGAAGCATACATACTCTCTTTTCTTCCCTCCCGCCCACTCCCTTCAAGGGAATAGAGCTTTGACTACGTTTCTGACACCAAGAGCAAACTAATTCGGCTGTTTTAGGCAGGAGCGTTTAGAAAGGGGCCAGAGGGCTTCTTTGGAGACCCCATGAGCATGCTCGTTCTAAGACTTTTTGCTTGCTGATCAGCTAGCGGCTAAGCGCTAAGACCATGGTTGCAGTGTCCCCTTATTAAAAATTCACGTGGTAAAAAAGATACAGCCTCCCCAAGAGCGCCTATCACTCAGACACACCTGTGCTGGGTCCTGATTAGCACTCGGGGACTTAAAGAGAAGTTCTCTTCCGAGCCGGGGCCACGACAGCTCTCCATTTTACTCAGAGCAGGGCATCTTCAGCCGGAGCAGCCACCCGCCCTGCTGCTGCGGTCCCCAGCCTGGGGATGAGATGTTAAATACAAGCCTGTCTGTCTGCCCAGGGGAGATTGATGGATACTTGACATTTTCCAGACAGAGCGAGGTTATTTATTTCTATTGCCCCTCCTGGCAGTCAGCAGCCGTGATCAACAGCCAGTGTCTTTAGGGCACCTGTGTTCTCCGGGCGGACTTAGAGCGTGTATGTTTGCATCTTGACTGTAGATAGCACCACAGGAAATGAAATGTTCTTTGTGTGTCCTCCTGTTCTAATGTCCCCTGAGACGGTGGAAAGGGTTAGAATGTCTGTCTGCACTGTCTCTCCCCTACCTCTGTCTGACATGTGAAGTCCGGGCCAGGGAGGAAGCCCTGTTGACGCCAGTTGTAAAAGCCTTAGCATCTTGGCTAATCATTACTGGACAGCGTATTCATTGGAAGCCGTTGGGGGGGCCTAAGATTCTTGTATGTTACCGTGGGGAAAAATTAGCCAGACAACATCCCAGGAACAATGTTGTAAGTTTTCTTTTGTTCTTTCAGCTTTTTCAGATGGCATTCTTTCTCAAGATGGGGCAGTGGTTGGAATCATGCCAATGCATCGCTAACTTATTTATTACTTTGACAAGCTTTTATTTGGTACTTCCCCGTGTAACTCGTAATACTCAAAAAGACATGCATTCTTTGGAGCTTTGGTATTGGAAGATAGTGCTGTAGCATAACTTCCGGGTAGATAGTCTTTCTCACTCTTTATTAGTATCTTTACATTTGCTCTGTGAGGTTTAATGGCACATCTGTGCATATATTTACTCAGCACTGGATGAGTTATTGCTTTCTAGGAGAGAGACTTTTTTTAGCTTATTATCATTCTTAGCAGGGATAATCTATAAACAAGTCAGCGTATCTGGGATTGAAGGGTTAGAGCCACTCTTCTATACATAATTAGTGAATTGGAGGATTAGAACTCTTCTATACATGAGATATATCATGTACAAAAGTATTTTAAAATATGTAAGGATAAACTGCCAAGATTACCTGTGCAGTCTTGAAAAAAGAAGAGTTCAAATATAACTATAAACTGTAATTGACAATGAGTCATTTGCTTTAGGGGTGCCAACTATGAAAACAGCCTGGTTATGCCCCTAATGATAATTATGAAAACTCCTTTTAAAAGCCAGTTGCATCTCAAGTGAGCTGTAAGTTGGCTTGGATAAATATTTTCAGTTTTGCTTTCTAAAATATTATTCAGTGGTGATGACTACACAACACTGTGAGTGTACTTAATGTAAAAATGGTTAAAAAGAATCATCCAGTTAACAGTTGGAAATGCTATTTTCTAGCCATATGTAATTTTCAGAATCTAAATATTCAAACATTTCAGAAAAACATCCATTCTTGACAGAGATAATTTAATATACAATCACTGAGTATTAAAAAAAAGATAAATCTCAGAAACCTAGTAACTAAGAAAGCAGAGAATGGAAATATTAAAGGTTTCTAGCAGCCTGAGTGTTTTATCTCTAAACCCAGTACATATTTTAAAGCAAATGTAATGCCTGGGGAAGTAAAGAGAAATCATATGAACATATGACACCAGTTGATAATAATAGTTAATTATATACAGGCATCTTGGTAAGGACTGTCCATATATTAGTTCATATATTCTTATACAAGCCAGTGAAACGGTATATCCTTATATTATAGAAGAGGATGTTGAAACGTAGGGTAAGTAACCTGCCTCACCCTAGTTTGCACATCTAAGGATCTGAGGAAAAGCAGCCTATTTCTGGAATCTCCACTCTTACTTCCAAGGCAAACCTGCTTAAAAAAATTTTTTTTTCAAGATTTTAAAATTGAATGGTGATAAGCTAGAGAGAGAGGAAGAGAGAGGAAGAGAGAGGGAAAGAGAAATATCGATGTGAGAGGGAGCCTACAACCCAGGCATGTGCTCTGACCAAGAATCAAACTGACAACCTTTCAGTGCATGGGACGATGCCCAACCAACTGAACCACACAGGCCAGGCGGCAGTCCTGCCTCTTGGATGTGGTTCTGAGTAAAAAGTTTAACAGTATTTGAAGTAGTGATATCAGACAGTTTACTCCTGTGTAAACGCAGCATTGCTTGACCAATGTGTAAGTGTGAGTGTGAGCTTTGACAGTGATGCTGTACGAGGACAATTACACTCAGAAGTCCAGTCTGAAAAGCCTTCCCTTTGGCCCTTTATGACCTGGAGGAAACAGTCCCCCTTTCATACACCCACGTGGTCAGGTGCCCACTCCGTATCCTGCCCGGGCTCCCTTCTTCCACGTTCCCACTTACCTATCCTTATATCTGAAGAAATGTAGTTGTTTTGACCCTTGTTTTCACATCAGGTCCATAACCCAACCCCAAAACAAACATGTAAAGGTCGGTAAAAATACAAGCCACTAAAATAAGTCGGTGACTGTGGATAAGGGGTCAACGTGTGGCAGGTGTGACACGGCAGCATTTCCTTGTGTGTTTGTGTCTTTGCTGATAGTTCGCGGAAGAAGCAGAAGAGACAGGGGAGAGGTTCTGGTGGCTTCCAGAGAGTGGCTTAACTGGAATCCACAGTGATAGCATCGGAAGCGATAGTAGAGGTCATGTAATGTATCCCAGCCTCCTAATTTTACAAATGAGAAACTAAAGTCTAGTGAGGTGAAGTGACTTGTCTAAAACGGTAAGCAGCAAAGCTTGATTCAGAGCTGGAACCTTTCATCTGCGTGTCTAGTGTTTGCTCTATTTTCTGGGAAGCCATGTCACCAAGTGGAGCAGGAACGTGGTGGCTCTGACTCCAGGGGTGTGAGTTCGGCCATTATTTTATCCTCTGCAAATCCCTGCCTATTATGTGCAAGGTGATCGGTAGAGGACATATCCACACTGGGGAAAGGCAGGTCACTAATGCCTAACGCTGCAGTCTTGTGCGTAATTTCCCTGGGGGTTGGGTATCCATTGTCCCACGACACTGAGCCAGGTAATGAACAAGTAGTTTATTCATAAAGTGAGCAATACTGGCTGAACCTATAGTGGGTCCTCAGCAAATGTGTTTTATTGATGAACAGAAGTTTTCCAAGTTGGATTTATTGCTGCTGTTTTGGCAACATTTCCAGGTAGTAAAATTTGGTTCACATTTTAGAAAAGTATTAGTCCCTTTTTTATTGCTCTCTGGGATGTATTGCCCCTCGTTATTTTCATATCCAGTTCCTCTAGGAGGGCTGGCACAGGCCTCTGATGGGAATAGCTTGGATTGGAAAGTTTTCCTGTACTGACTTTAAACTTGTCTTATCTCTGTAGGTTTGGAAGATGACACACAACACAACTGCCTTTGTCCCTGGTGGCAGACCAGCGCGTGAAAAAGCATGACACAAGTTTGAGGTTTGTGTCTGCGTCCCCAAGGTCAAGAAATTATCTCCTTGGAAGGCAACAATACTATGCATGTTATGAATTGTGTCTCCTTGGTCAGTGATAAAGAAAATGGGACTATCGCCACAGCAGCTGGATTCATGATTGAGGAAACACCGCCCCCGCCGCCTCCTCCTCCTCCACCCCCTCCACCTCCACCATGTCCATATTCAGAGGAAGGGTTTGCTCCCTCTCTTCCCCCTCCCCCACCACATGCATTCCCCGGGGGGCCTCCGGTCCCTCCTCCCCCTCCAGAACTGCCCCCAGCATCTCACTTGAATGGCTACAGCCACCTCGGTAAGAAAAAGCGGATGAGAAGCTTCTTTTGGAAAACCATTCCGGAGGAGCAAGTGCGAGGCAAAACCAACATCTGGACCTTGGCATCCAAGCAGCAGCATCAATACCAAATAGACACGAAGACCATCGAGGAGCTCTTCGGGCAGCAGGAAGATGCCACCAAGCCTTCCCTTTCCAGGAGAGGAGGATCTTTAAATTCGTCCTTCAAGGAAGCGAGAGAGGAGGTAAGAAGGGGACGTTGTTTTGAGTTTGGGGGTGTACATACGTTTGAAAACTTACTAGAATCACTAAGAAATAACATAAGGCCCAGCCGGTGTGGCTCGGTGGTTGAGCATCAACCTATGAACCAGGAGGTCATGGTTCGATTCCTGGTCAGGGCACATGCCTGGGTTGCGGGCTCGATCCCCAGTGTGGGGTTAGCAGGAGGCAGCCAATCAGTGATTCTCTCTCATCATTGATGTTTCTATCTCCTTCTCTCTTCCTCTCTGAAATCAACAAAAATATATTATTTTTTTAAAAAAGAAAAGAACATAAGGCAAGGGAATGTTGTGCTCTGGGAATGACAGAAAGGGCCTTACATGATGAACTTGAGCGGAGTAGTAACAAAGTGGAAGGAGCGTGCATGCCGGACCCTCCCAGGCATCTCGGTGGATTATGACCTCATGCAGAGAACATGCTCTGTGGGGCCATCGTCCTTGGCTTCTCAGCGCTGCCCTGTCTCTGCACATCTGCGGTTTCTCCTGGTGGAGCACTTCTGTGAGGAGTCCAGGATTACTCGTCTCCAGTGAAACAAACACAAATCCTAAGTTCCTGAGCGCAGGCCTCTGCGATCAGCTGGAGCTTTCTGAGACAGCATGCCTTTTGTTAAATAGCATCATTAAGTAATGCACATCCTTAGGGTTTTATCCTTAGTGTTTCCTCCCGTTTTCCTTGCAGTGTTTAGCGAAGGCCCTGAATTATGGCCACTGTGGACCAGAGATTTCCAGAGAGCCAAAGCGTAAAGCTGTTTTCAGATAGACTTTCTAGGAAGCGTATTTCCAGGTAACACGCGGTGTGATACTTTGAGAAGAAAATAAAGCTAGCAAGTTACAAGAAGTTCACTGGAAGCGTGGCCTCCAGGATACAGGCCACTCTATGTTATAGAAACTGAGTCCAACATCGTGTTTGTTCGTACTCTCTGTAGAAACGAGTAAACATGTAAAAGCCTCTACTTGCAAGAGGAAATAATTAGGAAACCAGGGATTAAAAGAAAAGAATGCCGCCCATCAAAAAAAAAAAAAAAAAAAAAAAAAAAAAAAGTAACAGAAATGCATCATTTTTTAATCTGCTGTAAGGGAGCTGAGAAAATAGGTCAGAGATGGAGGTGTGAGATAAGAGTAGGCAGGGCTCTGGAATGAAGTAGCAGCTCCCTGCATTATTGAATTCTCGAGCCGACAATATTGACCTCTTTTCTCTCTGGCTCTTAACTTCTGTCCACGAATTCCCTTGGGGGCCCTTGAGGCTGGTGGCATGGTGCCCTGTTGAAATAGCCAAGAGTCTGTTTATTATGAAGTGTGGAGAACGCTGGGATTTGAATTTACTGTAAGCTGTGACATGCATTTGAGAGGAAGTCTTCAGGAAAACCCTGAGTGTGAAGCACAGGTTTCCCCTGCTCTTTGCCTTATGCAAAGTCCTTGCACTTCGTCGCAGACCCTTTCAATCCTGGAAGAAGCGAGAAGTCATTTCCTAAGTCCCCTGGCCTTTGCCCCCGCAGCCAGCAGAGGCTTCTTAATGCACAGCAGGTCGTTTCTCACCGCTGTTTCTGAGCTCCACTTACTGAATTTCAAGAATTTTAAAGGAAAGAGTGGGTGGGCGCATGTGGAGAAAAGGTGATGTCTCCGAAAAGCACCTGTGGAGACAGAAGGGGGTTCGGCTCACCATGTTTCTGGGGAGGCGGCTGGCCCTTGTAAATTGGGGACATTTATTTTGCCAAATGCTCTGAGGCACTTGGTGCTTTGTGTTTGTGAATCGAAGAGAGGTTAAGGACCTCTCAGAGCGGGAAGAGAGTGGCAGGGAGTGTGGCGTCTTTTCCTACCTGTGGCAGAAGCAGAAATGTCCATTTCTAGGCCAGGTCTAAAATTCAGGAGGGTGGGGGAGAAAAGTCTTTCTCCTCACCCCCCTTCACCCCTGTATCTGAGGAACATCTTTACTTTTTTTCCTTTAACTTAAAAAAAAATAAACACCTGAAAGTGAATAATTATTTAGCTAGTTAGTTATACTTATTTATATTTTATTGAATTTATTGGTTAATAAAATGATATAGGTTTCAGGTGTACAATTCTATAATACTCCATCTGTATATTGCATTGTGTATCCGCTACCCCAAGTCAAGCCTCCTTCCATCACCATTTATCCTCCCTTTACCCTCTCCTACCTCCCCCATCCCCTTTCCCTCTGGTAATCACCATGCTGTTGTCTGTCTGTCTGTGAATAATCATCTTTTTAATTGTGGTAAAATATCCATCGACCATCTTAACCATTTGCAAGTGTACAGTGCAGTGGCACTGGGACAATCACGCTGTTGTGTAACCACCCTCACCATCCATCCACAGAAATCTCATCTTGCAAACTGGAACTCCCAGTCCCTGGCAACCACTGTTCTACTTTCTCTATGAATTTGACTGCTGTGGGTACTTTATATAAGTGTGATTGCACAGTATTTGACTTTTTGTGACTGTATCATTTCACTTTGCATAATGTCCTTGAAGTTCCTCCATGTGGTAGTGTGTCAGCATTGTAAGGCTGGATAATATTCCTTTGTAGGCATACACCACATTTGTTTACCCAGTTGTCCGTCCATGGACACTTGAGTTGCTTCCACCTTTTGGCTATTGTGAATAATGCTGTTATGAACATGGGTTTGCAAATAGCTTTACTTTTAACACGTATAGGTCCTAATCTGAGAGACAGCATACTAGAAAGAAAAGTTAAATCACCATCACTGTGTAAGCAAACAGCCTAACTCTTCAGTTCTTCAGTACTCAGGTAGGGTAAGTAGTTTAGTAGATGGATAGATAAGTGCATATTACATAATATTGTCACAGAACAGGGTTATCCAGAATTATTTTCAATTTTCCATGCTGTCTCCAACATGGCTAGATGTATCATACGTACTTTTTTTTTTTTTGTCCCAGTAAAGAACACAGGACGTGTGATTTTCTTCCCTCATTAGATTTTCTTCTAAAGCAGCTACAACTCAGCAGAGTGGTAGTCTAACAAGGACCAGTGATAAAAGTTCCAGTTCACTCTGTAGTAGGTGAAGCCCAGGGTTGACAGGGGTCGTCCTCACTGCCTGTCTGTGTGGACTGGAGAACTCCCTCCACAGCATGTTGAGCAGATGGACCCCGAGCCTGGAAACATGGCATCCCAGCCGTGACCACACGGCCCATAACTCTGGAGGCTCAAACGTGCCGAGGATCAGGTTCTGTCCCCTGGAAATAATAGGCACCTCCTACAGCAATGGCCTGCCGTTATGTGGTTGGCTCATACTTTCAAGGGCTTAGAAAGCCTTACAAATAAGTTCCATTACACTCCAAAGGAAGAAGTTGTTGGAAGATAGGGAAGACCCGGGGCTAGAAATCACTGAATTAAGGAAGAATAACACTTAACAAGTGAAGTGGAATATTTAATAAGGGGGAAGAGGTTATGACATATTACTACTGTCCTTGTATCTTTGTTACCTAAAAAATTAACTTGAGGAGGCTACAGATGTTACAATAATAATTAAGCTATAATAAAGTAATTAGACATAACAGATTTATATAACTGGTGATAATAATAAAAAGATTCAGCTCAAACTCTACCTCCCCCTCTACCCCCCCCACCCCCCAAGCTCGCTGATCTCACCCCTGAGAAGTTCCCCGTTCAGCTGAACCTCAGCCTCCTCAGAGCCCCACACTGGTTGTTGGGTCTGTACTTGTCTCTCACTAGAATAGGAAACTCTCTTGAGGAAAGGAACAGTCTTACCCATTTGGTGTCCTTCAGAGAAACTAAAGTAACTGAGCTGACAGAACTGAACCGAGGGAGCAAAGGGACCATCTTACAAGGTGTCAGTCAACATGATAGGTCAAAACTGGGAGTCACAAAGAAACCACTGTGAGATGAATAAGGTCTGAGGATCTCACGTAGAACATGGTGATGACAGTTGAGAACACTGTATTGTAAAACTGAAATTTGCTAAATGTTCTAAACATGGTGACTACAGTTGATTAACACTGTATTGTAAAACTGAAATTTGCTAAATGTTCTCACAAAAAAAGAGAAAAAGATAAATATGTGAGGTGATGGATGTGTTCATAAGCTAGATGGGGGAAACCTAACTAAAATCTCGAATTGGGGAAAGAGGAATGGCGAGAGAGAAAATAAGACGGAAGATTGGTTTTTCATATTTATGAGAAGTCATGTTTTATTCTCCCACACTGTAATTCAGGTTTCAGTCATTCTTTCTCAACTTTTGTTCCGACCCCAGTATATTGTAGAATTCTGGGACATGCTTAGTCCAGAACTATATTGAAAGGGGACTAAAAGCAAAGCTTCAACTGGGTTTTCATTTCCCTCCCCAGCAACATTGGGGGAGGAATATTCCCCACGTGAAAGCCAACCAAAAATGAAAAACCAGTAAAAACCCAAAGCTAAGTACGTATCGGAGCATTCAGGAAGATTTAAAAATTTTGCTTTTCAGAATTTGACATAGGATTGAAATAACCAAAAATGATTTAAAATTTTCTTCTTCCGCCTGAAGACATTATATTAAGTGAAATAAACCAGTCACAAAGGGACAAATAGGATACGATTCCATTTACGTGGGGTACCTAGAGTGGTCAAACTCCTAGGGACAGAAAGTGGAAGGGTGGTTGCTAGGAGAGGGGGAGGGGATAAGGGGAGTTAGGGTTTAATGGGTCCAGAGTTTCAGTTCTGCATGTTGAAGAGTTCTATGGATGGATGGTGATGATGGTTGCACAACAGTGTGAATGTACTGCATGCCACTGAACTGTACACTTGAAAGTGGTTAAGATGGTCAATAATGTTATGTGTATTTCACTACCACTAGAAAACAAACGTTTCCTCTTCCTTTTGAGAATATGGGAGGCAGATTTTGTAGTGACGTGACACGAAGTGAAAGTACATGCGTTGTAGTAGAGGAACCTAGGAGAGCTTACGCAGAGGTGTTAACGGGCCGTGGTGTAGCCATGCACATCAGTGTGGAGCACCCAGTACGTACCCTGGTTTCAGTGTCTCTGAGGGTCTTAGGACAACCCCAGCCACCCTGGCCAACTGTGGGGAGACTGCTCTTACCGCAAGTCCCCTCACATCCTGGTGGGACATCCTCCGGATGGGAGGAGCTGAGCACATTACCTGTTGGCCAGGGATGGTGTAACTCCTTGGTTGGCCTTTAAGGAAGCTCGCTGGCTGTACCTGCTGGTGACTTGAGCAGAGTCCTGCCTCCATGTGCTGCGGCGTAGATTCAGTTGACTGGAACTGGTGGGGAGAGGGAGGGACCCATCGATTCTTCCGTTTTCTTGGAGCAGTTGGTCTGACCTGTGGAGCCTGAGAGTCTCACGGGGGGCCCACGGGTAGAGTCCATGGCTCTGAATGATTCCAACACCCCAGCAGCCCCACACACATTCATTTCTGAATTGCCCAGCTTTTTGAGCTGGCAGGCATTTAGGAAGTAAGATAAGCTAATTTACATGGATAGTGATAACCCTCATTGAAGGACTTTAACAAACACTTTTATAACACTGCTTTGGAAGGATCCAGTGAGATAACCAGTGGGAAAGACACTGCT